TTTGCTTCGCCAGGCTTTAAAACTTGTATCAGTTTTCGTTATATTTTCTTTATTAGTATAGACTACCGTTTTTCAGGAGTTTGCTTTGCTGGGCCGGAAGCTAGTACAAAGATAAGTACATACGTACCATTGTTTTTTTGTATGTTTTCTCGTTTTCTGTTTTTACTAATGGTTTTCTTTCTTTTTAGATTCTTGCTTCGCCAGGGGTTTTGAGATCTTGAAAAACGGTAGTCTATAATAATAAAGAAAATATAACGAAAACTGATACAAGTTTTAAAGCCTGGCGAAGCAAAAATCTAAAAAAAAAGACAAAAAAAAAAAAACAAAAAAAAAAAAAAAAAAGACAAAAAAACAAAAAACAAAAAAGGACAAAAAAAGAGACAAAACATGAAGTACTTTATCTTTTATCGGTTTGGATGTTTTGTAAAATATTTGTTTAATAAAATAATAAAGAAAAATAAAAAAAAATAAATGCCAAAGACAAACAAGATCCAAAATAACAGTATACAAGACAATTGTAGATCAGTTTAAATTTGTTAATATTCGCAAGGTTTCGAATTATTTCGATCCAAAATATTAATGTTAAAGTATACAAGACAATTGAAGTGTAGATCATATCAGTATAAATTTCTAATGTTTATTTTATTTCACAAGTATTCGAATTATTTTGATCTAAAGTGTAGTTATCAATATAAATTTGCTAATGTTTATTTATTTCACAAGGTTTCGAATTATTTCGAAATTATTTTAGATAAAATATTGCATGATAAATTTCGAAATTTTTTGAAATTTTTATCGAAATTTTTTGAAAAATTTATTTTTCGAAATATTTCGAAATTTTTTGTGCTTATTTTCAAAATTTTTTTATAATGCAAATTCTTTCGCAATATTTCGCATCTTTAAATTTGCTGATGCTATGCTATTCATTTCAATAGTGCTTTGACCACAAAGTATATAATGCGGATGCCATTCAGATGCAAGTTTGCGAATGATTTTTAGCACATGGGTTAGTGTACTAATATCTTCAATATTTATAAACATATATGCGCCAATATTCCAAGAACCATGGTTATCTTGATTGTATAAGGTAAAGAGCTGCTATTGATATTTATTAGTATCATGCGTTGCATCCATAAGAGTGAGCCATCCAAATTTTTGTAATTTTTCAATATGCCTTTGATCAGCAAAACAGAAACCATAGGACTATCCAATATGAAAATGTTTCATTTCATAGTTTTTCAGTCAAAAAACCGAGTGCACGTTGAAATTCATTTTCAAAATTATTATCACCAGAAGAACAGGTATTTTGTTGCTTCCGCTGCTTTTGTTGAATATTAGCAACGTCTTTCCGAGTTAAGTATTGAGCAAGCGCACCAAGATTGCTTTTTTGGGCAAGTTCCTTAATACAAGATTAGAAAAAAAATTAGATTAATTGTAATGATTGTTGATAGTAAATACATTATGTCTTACTTATTATAAACATAGCAAAAGGAAAGAAAAAAAAAAAACAAAAAAGAAACCAGAACATAATTTTGCGACAATACATATAATCATTCATGCATAATCACACAATGCGAACTAAGGTGTTTTGTTATTACAAGTTACAATACTGAACAGAAGGTAAATACAGTTGTACCTGGGTTATATCAAAAGAAAGAAAAATAAAAAAAAATAAAAAAATAAAAAATAAAAAAAAATAAAAATAAAAAAATAAAAATAAAAAAATAAGGTATGATATAAAAAAACAAAATAATATATAGTACTTTAATAAACTAATATCAAACTATAATGCACAATTAGAGACTTGTAATTATGTACTAATTTTGTTACTAAGAATTTTAGTTTCTAAAAATTTTTAGCCAATTTAACCTTACTTTAACAGTCATGACAATGCTTATTGGTGCGTAGGGTTTACTTGCCTCTTGGGCTACTATTTGCCAAATTACTTCTGGCGTTTTAATCAAATCACTATCTTCGATTAGATGACTATGGTGAGGTGTATTCTTGAAATATTCAATTCGAACAGTTTGGGTCGCAATTATATGCGTGATCTTGATTTTTGCTTCACATATACCTTCAATACGTATACTAGTATTTCTTCTCTTATTTGCAGATATACCATCTTTTCTTGTACTTGACTTGTTGTGCTTCATTAAACGGCAAGCATATACGGTCCAGAAATCTCCATTTGCACACTTCTAGCTGTTATCCCTTAAACCGTCAGGTTTAGCGTACAAATTTGTACGCTAAAATATTTTGAAGAAAATTGAGCATGAAAAAAATTTTTTTTTATAAAACTTCTATTCTAATTGGCTGTAGTAATTTTTTAAGACCTGAGTTACATGGCACACCTGCAGGTATGGTGTGAAACACTCTATGTAACCTGATTGGAAGGTAAAAATTTACACGATGGCTAAAATATGGATCATTTTACCCATACTTTTGAGCTATCTTATCTCTTTAACATCGCCTCAAAAATAAATTATATGAAGTTGATCATGAAAAATCTTTGATCAACTTTAAAGTTATATTATAAAAGGGACCTCTACGTAGCAATTGTAAAAAATCCTTATAAGTGTCACATGAAAGTGCCTTTTTTAGTATTAAATTTGGGCACGAAGATCCTATTACGGTCGACACTAAATAACCGATTTTTGGAGTATTGATAAAAAAAATTTAATGAAATAAGAATTATATAGTAATCAGAACGTGACAGACTTTCATTTTAGCTTAGAAGATAGGGGGTGTGGCTTAATAAAATTTAGAGTAAATGCACAAAAATAGGCCAAAAATTATTTTAGCGTACAAATTTGTACGCTAGACGGTTTAAGGGATAGCATGTCCAGATATTTGAAATTAAAGGCCAAATTTCACTATCAAATTTTTTAGCTGAGACTTCAAATGTATTGTCAACATTAAAAAAGCGTGAACACTTTTGTTTGATCGACATGTCTTGCATAATGAGAAGTAAAAAAGAATTTTTTTTTTTTTTTTTTTAATTACCAAATTTTAATAATTTTGACTCTGTTTATTACATCATTTTTATCAAATTTAATAATTTTGACTTTGTTAATTAGATAATATTAACCAATGTTTCTTTTTTTTTATGTGTTATGCAATAGGGTAATTCATGATCATTTAATAGACCGATCAAACACATTTTACATTATTATTTGAAGGTGATTTATATGTAGAATTTAGGGATTGGAACCATTTAACCATTTAAAAGTTGTTTCATAGTTCTGGGCAAAATTATTTTGGTTGTGATCTAAAATTATTTTAATGCTAGCCAAATTAAACAGTTAAATGGTTAAACGATTAAATAATTAAGAAAAATTTTAGATGGTTCCAATACCTAGTAGAATTAGGAGTTTACTAATTTCTCTCCCACTTCTAATTGGTTCTACTAATTATTCACATATCAGAGTACCTGCATTATTAATCAATTTTATAGTGCTTCGATAGTGAAGCAGAGGAGTAATTAGTAAACTCTAGAATTAGAGGGATTGCATTTGTGAAACTTATCATAGTATACTGACTAGGCCTAATACAAAATATATACATACAAAAAAACTTACAAAATACCAGTGGGCATCTTGTTCGATGATGGATAGATTGTGTGGGAATATTTTGTATGAGCTCATATATGTAATATAAAAATTAATATGTGGCAATATGAAAAATGTCATGCAAAATACCCGGGTATTATCCCTAGTAAAAAAAATATTTTGGATAGGATGTACTGAAAAATAGGGTTATTTAATCAGTACACTATGATAGTATTTGCGGTGCTTTTATTCATGGGATCGAAAACACATATCGGGATATTTACAATACAACAATTGGTAATTATTTATTTAAATTTTACAGACTGTTTAAATATAGCTCAGGTTAATTTTTTTAATACAAATTATTAACATGATAACAATGAACTATTTTTCTATACAGTGTTTTGCCCAAAATTCTTCAAAATGGAATCAAATTACATCTTCAAAGAAATTAATCAAAATGCTCCTGAACATATGCTTAGGGTAAATTTTAGTAGAAAGTTTTTGTGACCATCAAATACTCAAATTGGAACACTTATTCAGATTAAAGGTCATAAATATAGTTGGTAGAATTACTGAATTACGGTATTTTACCTGATTGTTAAAATATAATATGCTATAATACCGTACTGCTGTAATGTTATAATATACAGTCAGACCTTCCTAAATGCAATGTGACAGGACCATATATAAAAATTTAGTTAAATGTGTACTTAGAGAGGTATTGCATTTAGGAAGGTAAAAATCTATAGATGCAATATTAGTTGAGCCCAAGAAAAGGCGTGTATTTAGAGAGGTATTTCATATGATGCGCACTTAAGAGGGTAGCATTTAGGGGGGCCTAACTGTAGTACTTAATACTTTAATAACACAATACCATAATACTATACCATTATAACATAAGGTAGCTGCGCAATGCAGTTGCGCTAGAAACCAGGAACGAAAATAAAAATACTGTTGGCCTTCTCAAAACCAA